GACCGTTCTGACTCTCAAAGCTTCTCGTTAGTGTCTCACTTGGTCTCTCCTGCCCCCTCCTTCCCCAAATTCACATTGGCTCATCACTATGATGGTTTACCTCTCTAGCCAATATACTGTAAATGTGCAGGGTGCAGGAAGGAGCAAGAAAGTTTTGGCAGTATCAGGGAGTCAGAAAGCTTTGCCTGCCAGAACAGCCTAGCAGTTCATATGCCATTATCCTGAACAAATTCCACTAAGAAGCCCTTAATCATTCCCTCTAACATTTTGCATACTATGGATGTCAGGCTAATTGGTCTGTAGTTCCCGGGTTGGCATATTGACCCTTTTTTTAATATAGGTACCACATTAGCCCTCCGCCAGTCACTTGGCACTCTACCAGTCATTATGGATTCCTTAAAAATGAGGAGCAATGGTCTTGTTATTACCTGGTAGAGTTCTTTGAGTACCTTGGGGTGTAGATTATCAGGTCCTAATGCTTAATTTGCATTAAGTAGTTTCAGGGTTTCGGTCAACCACTGAGGTATATTTTCTGTTAAACTATGTGTTTTATCATGTACATTAAACCCGCCTTTTTCCTTGGTGAATACCGACGAGAAAAAAGTATTTAGCGCCACGGCCCTCCCCCTGTCATTTGTGACTAACCTCCCGTTTTCGTCCTTTATTGGGCCTATCTGCTCCTTTCTCACCTTTTTACTGTTTATGTATTGATAGAAGTTTTTTGGGTTCCTTTTACTAACTGTGGCGATGTGCTTCTCGCATTCAATTTTAGCTGCCCGAATTTCATGTTTACACCTTTTATTACATTCTTTGTAGTTATGGAATGCCAATGCTGTCCCCTCCATCTCATACTTACTAAATGCCACTTTCTTTTCCTTAATGCGTTGTTTTACTGTTTTATTTAGCCATATAGGCTTAGTTTTCGATCTTTTACTTTTGTTACCCAACGTTATACACTTGGTAATAGCATTTTTTAGTTTGTTCTTAAAACAATCCCACTTCTGGTCAGTGCTTAGTTCGAGAAATACGTTTTCCCATTCGATGTCACCCACTATCTTGCGGAGTTTTTCGAAGTTAGCCTTTCTGAAGTTTAGGCTTCTCGTCCGACCGGCCCAATTCCCTTTCCTGTACCCAATATTAAAAGCAATCACCTTGTGATCACTATTACCCAGTGGCTCCCCGGTTATTACGCCTATTGCGGTTTTCAGCATCCTCTAGGTGTAATTGAAATTGAAGGAGGTGACCCTGTTTGGCGATGAGAGAAGCCTCCAGAGCAGAGATCTTAGTGGCTGCATCTATGACAGCCAATTCCATGGTTCCCATATGTTGGTCTGTCTGCTGCAAGCCATTCCTGACCTCTTCCAGCTCACCCTTTAGAGCCATTGTAAACTGCCCCAACATGGCTTGAATATCTTCTTTTGTCAGCAGTGCCCGCGGACTCCCCTCCCTTACCTCCACACACAGCCCCTGTCTGTCTGTCTCTGGTGCTGTGCTGACTCCACGCGGCGTGTAGCTGAGGAAGATGGCGTCAGCAGGACCGAAGTTGAGGGCTCTCCCTGAGCTGCTGGCGATAAGAATGTCTCTATTTTAGGCTGGGTCGGAGTCCGGGTGTGTCTCGCCGCTTTCTTCCTCCTGCAGATCAGGGAGAGAGAAATGTAAGTAGGCAGATCAACTGTAATATCCCTCCCGCCATTGCAGAGCTCTCTAGAGAAGCGTCTTTACGCCGCCATGGTTAGACCACACCCCTATCAAAATGCTTATAAGCTTTTTCAAATGCTTACTAAATCATTTACAATGCATGCTGTTTAAAAGTTTTTTTGCTTCCTACAGAATCAGGTGATTCCCCAAGCACTGGTCCTAATATCCTGTTTTAGGGCGGCTCCTTACCCTTGTTGCAGAGCTGCTGGAGACTGTGCTGTCCTTTGTGATCTTGTACTGGACAGAAAATTCGGGGAAGCAGAGCTAAGAGAGTTGGAGCTGTTCAGAAACATGATGACTGTTATTGTTTGGGCAAAAATGTAAAGAAATACTTTGCTGGGCAATGTATATTTGTTTCATCTGGATTCATTATGGAAAAAGGTTGGTAGTTTAATACTACTTTGAGGGCTGACATGTTAAACCCCATTTTTTTTTTCCAGTGCTGTGATAGTCTGACTGACAATTACTCGGTCACAAAGCACTGTACCCAAGTGAATTTTATATTATTTTTTTGCGACAAATACAGCTTTCTTTTGCTGGTAATTAATTGTTAACTGTTTTTTTAATGTTTTTACCACATAAAGTAAAAAAGACCACATGTATTTGAAAGAAAAAAATGTTTGCCATGCATTATGTTACAAAACACATCAAAATAAAATGTCAGAACAGTATGAGAACCCCCGAAATGACCCCTTTTTGGAAAGTGGACATCCCGAAGCGATCTGAGAGGGGGCTGGTGAAGGGGTTAATGTATAATCCACATACAGTGGGAGGATAGTGATCAAGGGGTTAATGTACAGATGATCAGGATAAGAGAGGGGAAGGGGTTAATATACAAGTCAGGGCAGAGATAGTATAGAGCTGACATATACTGTAGAGGAGAGGGGGGGGGTGGAAGGGTAAAACATTGTTACATACTTTGTTTATTTTTCTACTGCTGCAGCTTGATTTAAACCAGGAGCTAATGAATGAAAGATCAATTCTTTATTTAGTTCCTCTACTTCACCCTGCCTCTGTTGTAACAGGAAAAGGAGGGCTTGGCAATGTAAACATTGCTATGTGATCTCTGTGATAACCAATCACAACGATGATAAGGCAAAGAGCCAGTTTGATTGGCTCTGTGCCTTTAGCCAATGCTAAATTACCTTGTCTAATTACAGTGGGACCCACAGCTTGGGTGCGCACATAGTCAAGGATGTACAGGTACGTCCTCTCCTAGAACAACTGCTCCAACTACAGTTTATGTACATTGGCCAGTAGGAAAGGATTTAAAACAGGAGGGGGATTTCTCAAAACTAGAGCAGTTGCCCATGGCAACCAATCAGCTTCTATCTTTCATTTTAAAAGTCTAAGACTCCTTTCAGATGGACGTCTTCAGTTCCGATTGTGACATCCATGTCCGACCAGTTTTTTCCTCCATTTTGCAATGGAGGAAAAAAAAAAATGAAATTACCGGACCCCATGGTGGTCTATGGGGAATTGGATTTAAAGTGTCCATTTACATCAAATACATCCAATTTGGCATGGTCATGTCCGTTGAAGTAGAACTCTGGCTGCCCATAGACTAACATCGAGCTTCCGATCAGGTCTGCCTGAAAAACTGATAGGTGGACCTGATCGGAATGCCTGTGTGACAAACTAAACAAACTGAAGGAAGAAGCTGAATGGTTGCCATGGGCAACTGTTCCAGATTCTGCCGGCTCCAGTTTTCCTACATTTCCCCAAGGTATTTGCAGGTCCTACGTTCAGCGCAGATCCAAAATATAAGGGATTTATTTCTCATTTTTGGAAAATTGGAGTCATGCAAATCCTCCCTTATGCTCCTGTGGCCAACTAGACACCCAGAACTGCTGGTCTATAGCGCAGATAATATTATAAAGCTAGTTATTCAAAGCTGCACAACACATGTTATAGGCTAGTTGGCCATCATTAGTGTAGTGTTTGTCAGTTTTTTCAGTTTAACTGATATTAAAGTCAAAAGGTTTTTAAGCTATTTCAAATGCAGATTACATCGCTTATAATGGATGCTGCTCCGTGATGTTTAAAAGTTTTAGTTTCCTGCAGAATCATCTGGTCCCCTGATATCGAGTTTTAGGGTGGTTCCTTTCCCTTGCAGGGTCCTATTGTGTGTGCTAGTAAGCTGTGTGTGTCTCCACTAACACAGAGGCACAGCAAGACAAGCCATTCTTCTTTTCCGTTACTTTCCTTCTCCAAGTTAGTAGATATTATGCTGTCGCCTGCACTGGACAGGAAGTTTAGGGAAGCAGAACCGAGAGAGTTGGAGCTGTTTAGAAACATAATGACTGAAGTGCTTAGGCACAAATGTAAAGAAATGCCTTGCTGGGCAATGTACTGTATATTTGTTAGTCCTAGATTAATTACTGAAAGGTTTAAGAGTTTAACACTACTTTAAGCTTTAAAAATGAAAGATAGAAGTTTCCGGCTACTGTGCACAGCTGCTGCAGTCTTAGTAAATTCCCCTCTTTCCATTTTAAAAAGGTTCTATCGCAGGGGCAGCAACCTCGGCATTCCAGCTGTGATAAAGCTAAAAATCCCATAATGCCATTGCCTCTGGTAGTCAAGCTTGTGGCTGTCAGTCTTGCAATGCCTCATGGGACTTATAGTACCCTCACAGCTGGAGTGAAAAATGTGCCTATTTCCTGCAAATACTGTGCAAGCCAGGACTGTTGAGATACGTGTCTAGCCACTGCTCTAATTAATTTGTTTGTGTCTTTCATATATACATTTTCCACTTAAATACAACAATACATTTTTCGCTACAATAACGTGCTCTCCCTAGGTTAGCGAACAGTGAACTGGGCATGCGCAGTCTTCGTCCCAATCTCTGGCTAGACGCCATTCCCCCCCGTGTCCGCCCACTCACTCCCTCTGTACTGACGCCTGTGATCGTAACATTAGCATAGGATCGGCCTCCTCATCGGCTGGTAACGCCTGCCTCACTGTCTCCGGCTTCTATTCGTCGGGTCTGGCTGTGTCGTTGGCCGTGGAAGATTCCCGGCGTCTCCTCTGCCTCTTGTCTTCCGAAGCCGACCCTCGTCCCCCGGGAGCCTGGGACGGCGGGCCGGTACAGTGACCGCGGGGCGACGTGTCGGAGTCCGGCTGGCTCCGGGACCCAGTAACGGAGACCGGGGGAGAGGGGAGGTGGAAGTAAGAGAGCCTAACAGAAAGCAGTACACAGTAGCAGACGAAGAGTCGCACACAGGCCAGGCCAGAGCGACGGCGGCAGCTACCTGCACGAGTGACGCAGCTGGCTTATCGGGAAGGACGAGTGGCTGGGATCATTCGACGTAGAGGTGCCCCGCGGCGGGCACTGAGGTTTTCCTGATGTACCCGCAGCGGGGGTCCGGATCTTACCCGGCATCTCCTCTCACCAGCGGCTGAGCCTCCCCACACACCAGCGGTGAGTATCGACCCCTACTGGGCGATCGCCGGGGCTCTCATCACTCAGATGTGTGTGTCTGTGCTCTCCTGCCATGAAAAGTGTTGGCATCCCGGATCTGTAATGTTCTGCCATAGAAAATACTGGCTGCACTCTAGACCAGTCTTTCTCTAGCCTTTCACCAGGGGTTCCGCCTTCCTTTCAAATCATTTTCACCTAAGTGGATAAGGGCCCTATGTCAGAGGGAATTGGTGGTCGGTGGGAAAAGGCCCGCCTTTCCGTTGGTGTGAAGAGGTCCCCCCTTCCCTTGCATTGGTGGTTGGTGGCAAAAGGAACCCCCATGATTTGGTGCTCAGTGAAAAAAGCCCCTCCCCCTTGTTTTGATGGTGATGGTAAAAGGCCCAGCCCCACTTTGGTTATCATGGGAGAAGGGCCCCAACTTACATCTGCAGGGCCCCAACTTACTCCCCATGCATATACTGTTGTGGTGGCAGACAGTACTGTTAAGGAAATAAATATCCCTCTGCCTTAGCAACCTCTGGAGGAACCCTGGCTGAGAACAGCTGCTCTAGACTGAATTGTACTGTACTTGTAGCTCTGTGTGAATCTGCCCCAGCTTGGTGAGTGCTAGTAACACATTCTTTCCAGATAATTGCCTTGGAATTACAAGGAGTACTGGCATTTGTTGTGTGTTTCCTGGAAAGTTTTTGTATGCTAAAAAAATATACACATGGAAGGAATCTTGCAGTGGGTTCTAAATGTAGAGGGTTTAAATACTTGTTTAGCCTATTGTCCTATAGTTACTGTTTGCCTTCTTTCCTGTTTCCGGGCTCTTGTACAGTCAGTGCTCAATGCAGATGTAACTGGTGCTGCTTATATAGGGTTCATTGAATTACATTGATGTGTGTCTATTAGACATGGTATGTGTGTGACAACCGCTTGCAAGGAAATACTTACAGGTCTATTCCTTGGAGAAGGCAGGAGAAGTGAACAATCTAGGACATATAGCTGATTTGGAAAAAATCTCCAATTCAGCTCACTTTCCAGTTCAGCTATGTTGTCCTAGATTGTTCACTTCTCCTGCCTTCTCCAAGCTCTTTACCCTTTTGTGAATAGACCTGTTACTGATGAGATGTTCCTTTTGATTTGCATCAGTTTTTTTGTTTTTTTCTTGTGTAAAGTTCAATAAGTGCGGCGCACAGCGTGTGGAGCTGTGAACAGGGCCAACTGATCGGAAGCCGATTAATCGATTATTGAAAAAGTTGACAACTTTTTCAATAATCGATTATAATCGATTATGTCGATTAGTTGTTGCAGCCCTAAAGCCATTAGGCTAGCTAGTAGTAGTTAGGTCAGATTCAGTAAGCTAGCTACTAGTATCTAGATTCAATGACATAGCAAATAGGCATTAGTCAGATTCAATAAAGCTAGCAGCAGGTAGTCAGATTTGGTAAATCTAGCTAGTAGCAGGGAGTCAACTCGACTTGTTTAAAGGAGAACTATGGGGTCAGTGTTTTTCCCCATAGTTCTCCTTAGGGTAACGGGAGGACACAAACTAGCGTCCTCCCGTTACCCTAAGCTCAGTTACCCTAAGCTCTCGCAGTATACTGAGACGCCGGAGCGGATCCCGGCATGGACGTCGAGATCCGCCCAGCTGCGTGAGTGACAGCTGGCTCTGCCTATCTAGAGGCAGAGCCAGCTGTACCCGCCCCCTCCCCCGTCCGTTCCGCCAGTTAGCGCTGGCAGATTGGAGTGGGGAGAGGGGAATCCAGCCCCTCCCCCTGTCACGGCAGAGAGCCGTGACAGGATCGAGAGGTGAGCGAACCCGGAATTTGTCTAGCCCTGCTTTTATAAATATACAATCTTAAGCGTCCTATTTGAATGCTTTTTTGTAGTTGTATATGACGAATTGGTAAAGTGGACCTAAACTTTGAAGTCCAAAATACCTGTCACTTCAGTTTTTGGATTATTCTCTCCTTCCACTCATTTGATCAGTTCCAGGGTATTGGTCAATGTGGTCACTAGGGATGCACTGAAATTTCGGCTACTGAAACATATCTGCCGAAAATGGCACTTTTGGCAAAATGCCAAAAGTGCCATCTTTCAGCCGAAATTGGGGCGCATGCCTGGTTTCTCTCCTCTCCGCTGGGCGCTGCTCTGTCTCCTCTGACACAGCGCAGCATCCAGCACGGAAGAGAGAATCTGTCAGGAGGCCGAGCAGGAGAGTTTTGTGAACGCTCGGCGTGTCACAGGAGGCCTGGCTCTCCTCCCACATCGCCCCACTCAAATCAGGATGGAGAACGGTGTGGGGGCAGAGACAGCTGTCAGCGCTGTCACAGGAGGCAGAGCTCCTGCATCACCCCGCTCAGGCTTCTGTGACAAATCAGGATGCAGAGCGGCGGTGTGGAGTCAGCTGTTACGGGAGGCTGAGCCGTGATGCAGGGGAGGAGTCAGCTGTCAAAATAGACCGAGCTCTCCTCCCTGCACCGCCCGCTCTGCATCCTGTGAGAGTGACTGCTTGTAAATAATTGAGGACATGGTATGTTTACTGTGTTCCCAATTATGAATGAACAGGAAGTGCTATACTTCCTGTTCATTAAAGATTGTGGACATGGTAAACATACTATTTCTACAAGTTATGAATGAAGAAGAGCATGCAGTATAGAGGATTCATGTTCATTATAACAGGGGGCTGCAGAAAGAGATTTAGGACTCCATCTTTTTTTATATTTGAAAATAAAAATATCAGGCGTCTGTTTAGAAAAAATATGAAAAAAATTAGAAAAAAATGAATATATAAAAAAAAGTTTTTTTTTTCGGTTTTGGCCTGACTTTTTTTTATATTTTCGGTTGTGGTTTCAAAATTGAATTTCAGTGTACCTCTAGTGGTCACTACTACAGGGGACGATGAACAGTGTTTAAGCAGAGCCTCTAATATGCCACCTTTGCCTGGACATTACCTGCGAGTCCATTGGTCACGCTGTCCCATCTGGTGCCGTAGTGCTCAGACATAAAATGTTTTCTGGTCACTGTTGTTTTTTCCCCTGATACACAGGTGTTTGTCACTCCTTTTCCATCCTGCTCCATAAGGCAGGTCCACATGGTTCATGTCCCTCTGCATTAGGTGAACATGTATACAGATTTGCCTACCACCCTCTCCACCTATTCTTCAGCTCCAGAGAAAGGTTTGAAAGAGCCTGGGTGCAGTGAGAACTGTGCTGCCACTTAATCAGTTAATTGCCAGCCCTTGTTATTAGCACACCTTCAAAAACAACTGGATACATTTTACATTCACAGCTTACATAAAACAGGAAGCAGTAAATTATTTGCAAAAGTGAGAAATAAGAAATCTTATTAGGGCTAGTTCACACCAAGAGCAGATGCAGAGCAGTTACAGAACGGATCAAAACTGCGTCCAATGTATTCCAATGGTATTTTGGACTCTAGTTCACACTGCATCGTTTAGTTCCAGAGCATGCAAAAAAAAAAACAGCAGCAACCCCTATTTTTCCTCTGTGGAACGCAATTAAAGGTAGTTAAATACCCTCCCACCCCTTCTTACCTCAGTTTTTTTGTTTCCTACCGTCCAGGAACTTAGTCATGTTTGTTATTTTTCCTGACCTGTCGGCCTTGTGGTCGTGGGTCTCCCCTCTGGGCAGTTCTGTGTCCTGGTTTTGTTGGTGCTGGGCACCTTGTTGTGTAAACGGAGGGGTCCCTTTTCGTCTCTCCGGGTGTGTCTTCCATTCAGTTTAAAAGACGCAGTGAAACACACTGCACTGCATGTGCAGAAACTCATGCAGATCTGGTCTGCATTTGGTGTGAACAAGCCCTTAAGCAACATAATAACTTTCATTGCCGCACAAGTTGCTAAAAAAAAAAAAAGTTTTCTTTTAAATAGTATCACTTTAGTAGACCATATTTATAATCTGGCTTATGAAAAGCAAGGTGGCCTTAAACTATTAGAACTTTGTTTGGGAAAATTTTTCCATCCTACTCCTTCGAATTTTTCTGCAAAATTGATTGTCGATTTAACCCCATTAACTATTAAAAAATCAGATGAAAGTTCCCAAAACAAATTTTTTCAAACGAAGTTCTACTGGTGTAAAGCCACTTTAACCTTATTAAGTTATTCCGTACCTAAAAAAACTTTTTTGTTTATTATTGGCTATGTTCACCCTGTTAGAGTCATGTTAAATTGGCCGAAATTCGACCAGTATGGCTCTGTTGGCACCTCTTCATTCAACACAATGCTATTTGTAATGGATTTATCAAATGAGCTTGTTCCATTAATATTTAGATGTAGGGCTGTTTCGAACCATATGTGTTGGGGCTGTGCTTGCTGCCCTTTCTAGCGCCCAAGACAATCTCTGGAGGGAAATTATCAAAACTGGAGAAGCTGATTGGTTGCAGTGCAGTTTTGATAAATTCTCCCCAGAATGCCGTGTTTACTATGAGCACAGTTCACACTGCTGCATTGCACTAGTGTGCGCAGAACACTAGTGCAAAGTATTTTTGTTTTCTTCCAGTGCAGCGAAGTACAACTGCATTGCACGGAGCTGTACCTGTACAACTGAATTAAATGTCAATTGTGACATTTCAATAAATTTCGTGCAGTTGGCTGTCGTATGCAACAAAATCATTGGTATTTTAACCTTAATGTTGAAACTGTTCAGGGTTTTTTTCCCAAGTCCTCTTCCAGGGCAGCACCTGGGATGGGATCCACCCACCCAAAACAGGAAGCGCATCATCCACAATAAAATATAAGTGGCGGTACTGCCCCACCACCTCAGTTTATTGTGCTTCCTCCGGCTTAACAGGAGCATCGTAACTGTTTGTTTGTTATTTTGTCCATAGGCCTGCGTGCTAGTTGCAGGGGCCTCCCAGTGTATGATCCCCCCGTGAATCAGGGACCGTGGACCTGGGGGATTGCATGCCTGGGCTTGGCCTAGGATTAACCTCCAGGTTATCCGGTTAAGGGGCCCTCCCTCCCCATCTATCCCCGGGGATTCTTATCCGCCTTG